TGAGTTGATTAGGAAATTACCCTGCAAGGAACGGACAGATATACAAGCCAATAGCAGCAAATAATCAAGGTTGCCATGGTTACTTAAATTACCAGCAATTATTATTGTGTTAAGATTTTTCCAATTAGCTTTTATGTATTTGTTCAAGTGACATTAAGTAAAAACTTAGTAAGTATTGTACAAGTTTATCCAGACTGTGTACATCTGTGCTTTTCTTTGTAATTTCTTGAGTTCTGGAGAAAATGTTGTCTATTTTATTGTTTATGTTTGTCAAATTATCAATTGCAAATGTCAAAATGACATGACATGACAAACCTTAGCAATCTACCTTGCAGCAACTTATGGTCTCTTTCCCACATTAGGTTTTTTATCCAAAATATTTACCCCCTAAATTTAATGGCGTGAAAATTTATAGCCTAAAGTGTGACGTAAGTTTAGGGCTTTTTATTAAAAAGGGATTATTCAAAAATATGTTGTAATTGCTGACATCTTAGGCAACAAAAAAGTGTGTGTTTATGCTTTATTATAATAGTATAGATATAAAATGTAAATCTACAGCAAAGATTATAATAATAAAAGAAAGTTGTTATCTATTCCTCATAACAATTGTATTATCTTATTGTTGCGTAAAGCACTTAAGATAAAATGCCACGCATGCATTGTTTTACATTGATAATGATTTCTTCACTTTTGTACTTTCCGATTCACCTTTTCATGTATAATGAGGACACTTTCAACTGATTTTCCAAAAGGAGGTTATCATTTTTTTTTAATACGTTTTTGCATATCTTTGGCCATGGTAGACCGATTTTGCTAATTCTTTTTTTTACTATACTGTTTTCTTCTCATTTTCTGTTAAATATCCAAATTACATTAAGGATTTTTAAATTGGATGAAAATAATAACATTGTTTATAATTTTTAAATCTTTCTTTTATAAAAACTATACTTAAATATTGGTAGGGCAGTAGTTAAGGGTTAGATCAGACTAGTATTTTTTCGATTTCCACTTTGTATCTATTGTTTTTACGCTGAAGGAAAACATAATGATGCCACCTATACTTATGCACAAAGGAAATTTCAAAGATGTGTGAAGTCAACACGCAGTGGGTCAGTTGACTATGGCACTTCTATCTTGGCTCCAATCTCTATGGTGATACAATAAGCTGATGACAAACAAGCTGTTTTCTCTTGTATCCTACAATTGAAGCTAAAAACTATTAAACAGTACATTAATTTGTTAATCTCAATTTAATCGCTCTTGTACGTATTAAATTGGTGGTTATAGCAAGTTTTATTATAACTGCTTCATAATTCACATACATGAGTTATGTTATTACCACATTTACCTACTTGTGGCCAATTCGAAAACGATAAACCATTTAATATTAATTAGATGATTCTGATGATGTGAATCTATTTGTATTTATCAAAGAACTATTGATATATATCTGAATGTTCTAGTCTCTAATATGAATGGGATGTTGGCTTGTCATACAGTTAATTAGTAATCTATATCTATCTATACCATAATATAATAAACCGTAAACACACATTACTTTGTGGCATAGGACGTCAGCAATCACAGCATATTTTTGAATAAATCTCTCCTTAATAAAAAACTTACGACACACCTTAGGCTACTTGTAACAGTGTGTACAACAGTGGTAGTGCCCACTTTAACATCTTGGCACGAATGGGGGGCACACCCGGTGTAATACCACACAGAAGACATGCGTGAAATGGAAGCAATTCCGTGTTTCGTCTGATGAGTGTGATGCCGGAGGCCTATTCACCACCGTTTTCTTATAAGGAGAGGATGGGAAGGGGAAGTGAATTTGACAGAGGAGGAGATACATAGGAAGGGGAAATATCCTCTTTATGTGCATCTCCTCCTCTGACGGATAAGAGTAGGCAACGCATCTGCAATTGCGGATGTCTATGGGCAGCAGTCGCTTCGCCATTTTGGCGGATTCAGGTGGCCGCTTGCTCGTTTGCCACCTTTTGTTAAAAAAAAAATTAGACAAAAACCTTCATGTGGGAAAGGGACCATAAACTACAAGTCTATCAAATCTACTTTCCCTTCCCATCCTTTTCTCATAAGTAAAAGTGACTAAAGTTGAGCCTCCAGCATGCTTACGACCTGGCTTTAGTTAAAGTTAGTAAATCTTTAGTTAATCTGACTTTTGTCGTTGTTAATCGTTGGATAGGGTTTGTCGCATCCACAGGCAAATCCGGGGTTTCCTTAAGTATCAATAATTGTATATTCTGCATGTCCAGCGATGCGCGGCGACTGGAGATCGTTGTCTTAACCGCCTCTTGCATTACAATGCAAGCAGCAAGGGCGCGCCCCACTTGGCGTCCTATTGAAACTTGATGACGTTGGTATTAAAAGATTCAAAGTTTATGACGGCTCGAAGCTCAAGTTCACGCCGATAACTAAAATGATCTTAACGTCGACGAATACTTTGGTAATGATTGATGTGTCGTGTGATGCGCGCTGCAATGAGTTTGGATACCACTGTATATGATCGAGATATAATGTCAATTGTTTCTAGTAAGGTCTGATTATGCGTGGACTGACCAGTTTTGATACAATTTAAATCTTGGATGTCTTATAGGGGTTCTTCCAAATTATATTCTACATTTTTGCTAAAAATCATTGAGATTCGTTGACTTGTTTTCGAGATACGTAGATAATAAACATCCCTCCAAGCTTATGGATTTATAACATTGGTATTAGTATTAGTAAAATTAAAAAGATAAAAAAATTACTTGCTTTGCTTTCGTCAGCGACTCCGTCCGCGTGTACTTCCAGACAACCCATACCAAATTTAATCGAGATCCGTTCAGCAGTTTAGGCTACAAACTCAAAAAGCCATCCATCCAAAATTCCGTATTTTTATTAATAAGATAACTCTGGCTATTATATTTTATTATTAACGTATTTTTAATATCTCACTTTATGACATATCACTATATGTTCACATATAGTAATAATAACTGTTGCCCGCGATTCCGACCGCTTGTGATTAAAAAAAAACAAAACTGAATAACCTATGTGTTCTTCCAGACTATCCTCTACGTCTATGCCAAATTTTATAGAAATCTGTTTAGCAATTTAGGCTATAAAGTCAAAAAACATCCATCTAAACTTTCGCATTTATAATATTA